AACAAGATCTACTGCCATCGTTGCATTCCCCATGCTCTTGAATTAAACTGAACTGCCGGGCAGAGGAGTTGACAACAAAGTATGTGTTTCATTTCTTCTCGTCTCTCTCAAAGTCTGAGAGCAGAGAACAAGAGACGAATTGGAATCTGGAATGGAGGAGATTCGACAACACAGCATGAATTTTGATCACCGGTTCATGTTCTTCATAGTCGTTGACTGGTTTTTGATAGAAGCCGAGTTCCCCGATTTGACTTCCACCGGTCTTCCGCTCAACTCTTTAAAGCTCTTACTTCTACAACGACTCCGCGACAGCATTCACAACCTTGACGAACAACTTCTGTCGGCACTCGTTTGGTCCATCCAAGCATTGAATCTGTTAGGTTGGATTGTTGGGTTTAGGACCGTGTCAAAACAAATCGAGACCAATAAGCGAAGTCAACGGATGCTCGGGTCCCGAAAGTGCAATGAACCTTCGTTGACTCCGTGTTTGGTTTGACCCACCACTAACTCCATCCTTTTCCCACCTACCTTCACTCCTTAATTTCGTTGAGTGGCCAGCTGGGTTGGATTTGACTGCTACCTATCGACAACAACAATTAACAGATCTACTACTGTACTTTTTGCTGAAAAATTAGATCTATCTATCTATCTATCAGAGCACGTTCAGTTCGTGCGCCTAAAGATCAAGAGGAAGAAGAAGAAGAAGAAGAAGAAGAGCGACGACCGTGGGATAGACAGAAGAAGAAGAAGAAGAAGAAGAAGAATGATGATGATGTGAGTTGACTATTGATCTTTGAAACATGAGAGAAATGGTTATGCCGGTCAGTCATCATGAAGTTAAAGGAAATGCGTATGTTGCGCATTCGTTTTCTATCGATCCGAAGTCAACTATGGGCCAGAATTCCAAACGGGGGAAAGGTCAATTTTCCTTGAAGTTGGAATCTTTTTTTGGAGGATTCAATACTGCTGTTGATTCTTAAGACGATTGGAATCTTACAATTTGAAGTCGGGAAGATTCAAAGAAGAAATTTGACGTCTAATGTTCATTGCAAAGGTGTCAATAAGTCAACGTGAAGATGGCACAAAACATCGACACTAAAAAAGACACAAAAAGGATTGAGAAAAAGAGTGGGAAGAACAACGATGCAGGCTGCTCTTGATCCTGTCCATTGTTTCCATGATCATATTGCTGCAAGTTGTTGAGATCACAATTCGTTGACTTTTGTAGATCTTCACAAGGCTGCATGAAGTTGACGTATCGACTTCACTTGAGTCAACACATGGAATCAACAACCCAAAAATTGGAACCCTAAAATATGGCTTGTTGTGATCTAGTAATACATCCAGCAAGTATGTCATCAATATCTTTCATAGTCATCTGAAGTATTTGGTGAACCTATCACATCATCACTTTTGCACATCCACAAACTGGACAAGAACAATAAATAATATGTCTCTACATGTAATCTGAGAATGTTTCATACCTCAGAAGTCCTTTAATCTTAAACTCAATCAACCAGTAAAGTGATGAAGAACATTCAGAATCTGAACAACAACAACAACAACAACAACAACAGAGACTTGATTTCCCAATTAGTAACTCAAAACTTGCCATCAGCATAGTTTTGGTTCAATCACTCACCTCTCCTTATTTGCAGCAACCTTGCATTTCACTGATGACATGGATGCTTCCATTCTGGAAAGTGAGGTTGCAGGTGAGAAAAATTGATCTTTTTCTTCTCTTTAATTTCAGAAGATGTGTGTGTGCTGATTGTCTCATCAAATCGAGTTAATGGTATTAATTTGTATTATTCCAAATTGGATAGGATTAATTTGTAAGTGATAAAAAGAATAGAAGATAAGAATAATTATTGAAGAAGCATTATTGAAGAAGCTTTAGCTTGAATACATTAATATGTCCCTCTCCTATTTATATAGATTAGGAAGAAGAATTTCCCTAACAGAATAGAGGATTTTTCTCGAATAGACTAGAGAGATTTCCTCATATAGTTGGGGAAATCTTATCTTCTATCATGCCCCCGATGATGCTCCTGTCAATCTTGGATCAATGCAAAGAATGATTTACGAGTGAGAGACTTCGTGAGTAGAGCAAGAGCAGATCGCTGCTGCTGTTGCGATTGCTGTTGTTGTGAGGGCACAGGCGTTCCTTTCGTTCCCCTTAAGTCCGTCCTTCGTTCTCATTAAGTCCGTCGACTATTGACAGATAAACAAAGACTATCGCGATGAGGAAGATGAGGATTGGCCGTGGAACCTCTTAGGAAGAATTTCCCTTAACAGAATAGAGAATTTTCCTCGAATAAACTACATAGATTTCCTCGTATAGTTGAGGAAATCTTATCTTCTATCACTAAGTTCTTTCTAACAAGCACATTTATCCTGATAAGTTTGAATGGCTGTATTAGTCTTGAGTAACAATCAACTATGATGATGTAGTCCTATCAAATGGAACATGGTTGATCAAAAACAGACAGAATCCAGTGTAGGGTATGGAGATCCAAGTGTAGGTATGGTCTTCAAAGACTTGTTTGTGCATGTGACACTTTTGTTCTGCATTATTGTTGGCCCTACCTAACTCCAAATGATTGTGACAAGAACTAGTTGTGGAGAAATTACACAAGTCCTTGTCATATACTTGGAAAGTTGGAAGATCAGAGGAGCTCCACTTGGATGCTGTTTTGACTCTTGTAGTGAGTGGCATATGAGGAGTGGAGTAGGGAAGGAGGGCCAAAGAGAAAGAGAAGTGGTGGTGTGGGGAACACCATAGAAATATTATTGACAAGAAGGCCAAAAGGCCATACCTACCTTGTCTGCTTGTAGCATAACCTGCACCACAAGAATGTGGGGAAAGGACTTGGCAGATAAACCAAAGTCCACATGAGAAGGAAGCACTACCCACACCATTCCCAACTCTACTTTCCCCTACAACTTGTCTTGTGCTCCCTAAACTTCTCTCTCTCTCTCTCACAAGAAAAAGAAAGAATGCAAACACTGTGTAGCAATTGATAGGGAAGACTGAATTGAGTCAGATTGCATGCTTCCCTATCTGTGAGTGGGCAGTGGATGGGGTTTTTTTCTTCTTTAAATTGGATTTGGATATTCTTTAATAGGATTTGAAATTAGGTTAGAGAGAAAAATAGATACTTAGGTTAAGGATTCAGACAAGAATTACACTTGTAAGGCTTAAGAGTGTGCTTTTACATATGTGTATATGAAAGCTGATTCTTAATATCAAACCAATTAGAGAGACCTTCTTATTGAAGAGGTGCTGTGCTGTCTCTTAGAACACACTCCACAAAGGAACTCAAGGCAGCCAAGGAATTGGAAGTCATCCAAATGAGATGATTGTAAGAGGTCTGTGGAAGACTCTCAAATTTAGTCCCTTGTGAATTGGTGTATGGCTAAGGCCATATCTTTGGATAAGAAGACACTACTCAATTGTCCAAATCATAAATAGAGCAATCATGACAAGATGAGATCAAAATGTTTTTACTGTAAACTATAATCAAACTTTAATGTTTGGACCAACTTTTCTTTTTTTCTTTTTTGGTCTAATTAAACAAGTGATGCCATCCAATATGTCTGATTGAATCAAACTTATGGTTTTGTTAACTGCTAATTGCACAGATTCAGTGAGTTGGATTGCAATGATTCTAACAAATGGTTACATTAAACAAGATTTGACCAGACATAAACTGATGCTTGATTAGCTTTGAGTACTTCTCTTAGACTTCCTTTTGCTGGCCATTTCCATCCAAAAATTAGGATCAAGCTTAGGTCAAAGTAGATCTACCTAACCATCCCAAACTTTGCACAGAAAAAGTGCAATTGATACTTTAAAATAAAAAAAAAGGCTTAGTAGTAGGTGAATATATATATAGAGAGAGAGAGAGAGAGAGTAAAGTGAAAGCTCAACATATGGTAGGCCTATGGTGGACTGGAATCATGAGGGTTCCATGGAAAGCCAAGCAAATGGTTTGGGATATTTTGATCCACCACTCTTTGTTCACCCTCTCAAGATAAATTATTTTTTATTTAGCTAAGTTTATCTGGATAGATAGAATGGTGTTTTCTTCCATATATATCATCTTGAATGAATCCTAATTATTCGACACATGAAAAGACGGATATCAAATATATTTCACAAAATGAATATTGATCTATACAGAACTCAATAATAATAATAATAAAAAAGATTCACATAGTAAACTCTAAATAATTAAAATTATATAATTATTATTATCGTTGTCGATGATGTGTCGGTGCCCGACACATAAATCATATTAGCCCTAAATGGATATCAAACAATCTAAACTTGAATGAGACCAAATGTTTACAGAATTGAATAAGATGCATCTGCATGCCGACCTCTGTTGATGCTCATGGAATAATTCTCCGTTTGTAAGACTTCTATATGAACTAATTTGAGTGCAAAGTCCACAAAGGGGACCCCTCGACTACTTTGTCTTTCTCATGGAATTGATATGGTGGACTCGTTGGCTACATGAAGGATAAGCGTTGACCATGATTAGCTTCCGTAAAAGAGAGGGAGCTGCTGTAGATGTAGCCTACTGCATCTGCAACTTGGTTTAAGCCCATGAGATCAATATGAGCACTAAGTACACCAAAGTCATGGATGTTTTTAATGTAGTTTGTCTTTTCCTTTGTTCAATCTCTGTATTCCCATTGTGTCTTATTAGCACTGTGTGTTCTTTAGAGAGAGAGAGAGAGAGAGAGAGAGAGAGAGAGAGAGAGTCTTATTAGTACTGTGTGTTGGTAGCTTACTGAAGACCTACCTGAAGTGGATGGTATGATGACGTGAGAAGTAGGCGCAAGAATCCTCTCTCTCTCCGCGCTTCCTTTTTCCTTCAACGTGTGTTGAAGAGACCTCACAAACATCCAACTGGTTTGGTTCCTGCCGTAGTCAAACGGCTATAAATTTCCATCCCCGGTGTAAGAGAGGGGGACTGCACTGCAACAAGGAGAGAGAGAGAGAGAGAGAAGAAGCGAGGGGGAGGAACATGGGGAGATCGCCATGCTGCGAGAAAGCTCACACCAACAAGGGTGCATGGACCAAGGAGGAGGACGAGCGCCTCATCGCTCACATCCGAGCCCACGGAGAGGGCTGCTGGCGTTCCCTCCCCAAGGCCGCCGGTCTGCTCCGGTGCGGCAAGAGCTGCCGCCTTCGGTGGATCAACTACCTCCGCCCCGACCTCAAGCGCGGCAACTTCACCGAGGACGAGGACGAGCTCATCATCAAGCTCCACAGTCTCTTGGGCAACAAGTACGTGTTCGATCAGCTACCACAAGAACTCATCTCGATGCAGAGCTGACTCTGTTCCTCGTTGCAGATGGTCGCTGATCGCTGCAAGACTCCCCGGGAGAACGGACAACGAGATTAAGAACCACTGGAACACACACATCAGGCGGAAGCTACTGAGTCGAGGAGTGGATCCTGCGACCCACCGGCCGGTCAACGACCGTCCGCCATCTAACATTACAATCTCCTTCGAGAGGAGAGAGGGGAAGGCGGTCGGCGGCAGCGAGGAGTCATCGGTATGGCAGCAGCAAACCCAGCGTCCAGACCTCAACCTGGAGCTGTGCATAAGCCTTCCCTTCCAACAAGACCCCCATGAGCTCACCAAGAGGGAGAAGAGCCTCTGTTTCAGCTGCAGCTTGGGGTTGCAGAACAGCAAGGAGTGCAAGTGCCGAGACTTCTCCGGCCTCAGCAATGGAATGTTGAGCTACAGAGGCCTGAAGATGAAGTAAATGCAGACAAAAGACAATCTGGGATAAGAGATGAGGGAGAGGAATAAGGGGATCTCTTAGCTTCTAATTCAACAGCCTCTCCCATTTCCTAGTCCTATTTGGAATTTGGTGTTTTGTTTCTTTTGTACAATTATGAGCAGATATAATACCAGATGATCAGCTACCATGAACTTTATACTGATCTTGTGAATGCTTCTTGTTTCTTACACACAGGGAATTTTTGTTCTATTGATGCATGAAGGTATCTTGTTATATTATCAGTCAATGTATGTGGATAAGAGACAAGAAGCCAGAAGGAGAGGAAGGCAGGTAGCCACTCCTAATAAAGAATGTAACTTCATCCATGAAGCTTTTGATAGCCAACATCCATCAAAAGCAAAGAAAAAGTAATAGCTAAGCTTTTCTTATCTGACCTGAGGTATCATGAAAAGATGATGTCTATCTCTTGTATTAGAATGGACCCAACCCATGAAGAGAACATGACCTTACATAAACAACCTACTTGACCAGTTCCTACCCAACTCTTAATTATTAGATCTTGACTAGAGAGAAGAAAAAGGTGTTGTAGTTTAAGGTGGAGCATTATTTTATTGTCTGTATTCATAATGCAACTGTGAGCAGTTGGGAGAGAATGTTGACCTAAAAACAATTTCAATCCCAAATGAAATGAATACCTAACAAATACAGTATTGGATCATTGAACATGTTTTCAAGCACTTTGCTAGTAACATTCAAGCCTACCTTTAAGTGTGTCTCCTACTTGTTTCATCATTTTGGTTGATAGCAACCTTTACCCAATCATCAAGTATATTACATCATTTGGAAAAATTAATCCCACTCTCAGTGTGCTCTCTTACAACTCTTCATAGTTTAAGCTTATGTGAAAGGGAATAGAGAATGTAGTGTCTTTGTTTATGGGTTGTGCACATGGAAGATTCAGAGGTGGAGCTTGAGACACAACAGAGGCCTAAAAGCTTTCAACTAAGATCCAAAAGAAGTGTTCTTTTCCATCACCTACCTTTGCACTTTTTCAACAGGTTGGGTAGGCTAAAGAAGCTTCCATGTTCCATTTTATCTTTCTTTGTTCTTAGCAAAAGGATGGGATAGTTAAACCCAACAACTACTGAAAATGCCATGTTCTATTTTCCCATCATAAATCTGTGGGGATGAGATTGTCTTTACCTCCCATTACACTTATAAGCTATATTCTACTGCAGCCCATAGGTTTTGTTATTAGCAGCACAAACTATTGTACAGAGGGTGACATTAGACCATCAACAATTCTAACTCCCACCAATGACACAAGGAGGACAACTAGCAGTCCCATGATACTGTGACACAGGTTTTAATAGTTATCAACAAGGCAAGAATACTCTTCAAAGGATGCTTTAGGAACTTAATTATAATTTTCATTGGAATGATCACTTTGTCAGTATTATAATGTGGCACTAAGCAGCTGGCCAAATAATACTAATGCTCAGTTGTAAACTCTGCTTGTTCTGTCACAATTGCTTTGGTCTAATTATTCACTCATTTTTAATTAATTGAACTTGTTTCATCTATATCAGTTTGGTTTCCAACTCTGCTATTGTCTTCTGCCTATGCTCATACAGACTCCTCTGTAGTAGCAAAAACATTTTTTGAAAGCAAAAGCTGGACTCCATAACTTCTCTTCTGCAGACTGTTCTTGTTAATTTGCAGCACCTACCTTAGGGTACAAGCAACAGAGTTTAATATGCTTTTCCAATGTGAATCTCATCCTCTTAATGTTCTGCTACTAATGAGAGTTGCAACCAAGGCCAGGAAGGTAAAGTTGGTTCTTGTCATTTCAATGTGGGTCAAGTCTTGGACAAAGGTTGTCATATCTTCTTTCCTAACACCATTGGTGGTTGGCAAGCATCTTTTTAGGTCCCTTGACATCAAGTCAGCTGCATGTGCATTGCATTGTTTCTCTGTTTCCTTCAACAAAAAGATGATCCAAGAAAGTGATCTTTTTGGCAACTACATGTTTAATGTGTGAGTTGTTCACCAAACAATAAATGGAGAATGGGTATCATGTGAGGGGTTCAATAGTTCAATCCTCTCATTGTGCCATTTGGTGGTTTCCATTGCATATATGTTGACACTTCAAGAAATAATAATCTGGTTTTGTAGCCCACTGCTAGTGCAATTTCCAATTTTTTGGTGTTTGAGATTGAGAGAGAGAGAGAGAGAGAGAGAGAGAGGGGGGGGGGGAAAGAGATCCCTGAAACAAGCTGAGTAATACCTTTTTCCTATTTTAATTAAAATGACAATATAGGGAAGTGCAAAGTGATGAGTTGCTGTATGATAAAGGATATTGGGCTTTAATGTTAAAATACTCACATAAAAACAGTCACTGATGTTTTCATATCATCCATATCATTACAAGTTCTACTAACTAATCAAAATATATTAGTGAATTGCATAATTAAGGTAGTGGTCATATATATTTGAAATAGTCAATAGAACATCTAACACAAAATAAAAAATCAGGAATATGAAGCAAGGTTACCTCACCAAATCTTTCGGTGGAAAGTATGTAAAGCTCATCAGGTCTTTTTGACATTTCTGTTCTAAAATTCAGGAGGTACTCTTCAAAGTCAAACCTATCAAATGCACTGCTGTAGACCTGGAGTGTTTGGCTGTGGAAAGGTAGGCCTTGGAAGTGCTATTTGATGAATTGATAGCTGACCCACCCATGTTCCAAAACCACATGGTCTCTGGCTTCATTGATGGAAGACATTTTGATGCATTTTTCCTGTTGGAAACAAAGTGGGCAATTAATAAGCACATTGAATTTTTGGTATGCTGATTTGCCCAAATTCAAAGTCAAATGCAGAAAATTGTGTGTTGCTTCTTTCACTATCAACCATGTAATATCTTCAAAGTGGGTAGGACTGGGGCTTTACTCCATCAGCCAAACAATGCATTGAGAGATGGACTTGCCTCATAAATCACATGAAACAATGCATCAAAGCTAACCACAGATTGCAGAGAGCCCTCTAAAAGCTTTCAACTATATGATGAAGGTTGTGTGGGTTATTTGGCCTCAACATGCTATTGATGCTTAACAAAATCAAACAGCATATGCTGAACTTTGGAGTTAATATATGAAAAATGACATCTGGAACAAATTTAAAATGGTCTTCCAGTTTTAAAATTATGATATGTTGGTTTAGACAAATGCCAAGCAGGTTTTCTTTTTTTCTTTTTTTTCTGAAGCACACATTAGTCACAACCATTCAATCACTTTAAAGAATAGTTTCAGCCAAATCTGGGTTAAAGAAACATCCAAGAACAACAATCATTATTCTCAATCTTTATGCAACCTGATCACTATATGCAACTAAAGAGAATCTAAAACAAGAACAACAGTAGCATCTTTTCCTTCCAAAAAAAAAAAAGTAATTATATTACTTCAAAATTCTGTTATAACAAATACCTTGTTGATCAAATCACAAAAGCGAGAACATGCCATCTAGTCATTGTTCTTTCCAACAAAGATTACTAATAATAATTCTAGAATAGTTGACCAACCAATTGACACATCTATTTCAAAATTACTCATATATATATATATATATATATATATATATATATATATATATATATTCCAAAAGTTGATGCATGAGTTTATCCCATTGTTGCCGGCTTGAGAAACATATCGCTAAGAACAGGATCTATATGGGCATGGGCATTTATGTTCCATGTCTCAAATGTTGATTGACGATGAGAATTTTAAACTTAAAGCCGTGGAGTTCATGGTAGATAATGGAGAAACAAATTGTTCTCCTGGATTTTTTTGATTGTCTTAATTTTGATGGTATCAGAACAAGATGCTACTATGTTAACATCTTATTGGAGGGAATCACCAAACTTATAATCAAACCAGATGTCAGGATGATTATTAACATAATTATTAAGAGGATAATAGAGATTCTTTTTATTTGCTACACAGGTTTACAGATTTTACTGATGTGCACATATATATAAGTATGTATACATATATACATAATATATATATGTGTGCACATCAGTAAAATCCGTAAACCTGTATAGCAAATCAAAAAAATCTCTATTATTCTCTTAATAATTATGTTAGTAAGATGTTCGTCATTCCCTTCAATAAGATGTTAACACAGTAGCATCTTGTTCTGATATCATCAAAACTAAGTTTGACAATCGAACAATCCAAAAGAACAACCTATTACTAACATTTCTCCATTATCTATATTGAACTCCAAGGCCTTTAAGTTTAATATTCTCATCGTCAATCAGCATCTAAGACATGGAACAGAAATGCCCACGCCCATGTAAATCCTGTTCTCAGTGATCGGTACCAGAAGATGCTTCTCAAGCCAGCAACAATTGGATAAACTCATGCATCACCTTTTCGTTTGTTCAGAAAAAAGGACAAACCCCAACACCTACCATCAACTTGATGTTCCAAATACCTTTGGAGATAAGGCAGATTGCAATACCATCCTTCCAATCTTCCACAAAAGACAGAAGCATTCAAAGTGATGCACAAATCATCTTTCCATCTAATATCAATAACTAAGGTTGATCGCAGAAAGTTCTCTGCCCACAACTGCTCATTCATCCACAAATAGTCCTGTTTCACATTTGCCCACCACCATGGATTGACAACCACCAACCATCCTAACATGGAGGCCGACATCGTTTTAAGCATTGCAAAATCACCACGTGAGTGCAATAAAGTTAACCAAACGTTTGGCCATGACTGCAAGCAACAGTTCATATCACCAAAACTCAAAATCATGTAGACAAGGAAAAGTTCATCAACGTGGAATCTAGTTCTAAATATGTTCACATAGAGCAAAAAGTATGGGCAATCAGAAAGTGAGGTTCCCACCAATAAGTGCAAAAGGTGCATCTTGAAATAAGGAAAACCGGGATACCCATGAGAATGAGCGAAGATAAGCTCTGAAATAGTAGGAATATTATATGGAGTCCAACTTGAGAGGTCCAGGAGATTCTCTGCCTCCGGAAATGATGCCCATAGTGGATGATCGACTAGATCTTCAGCCATCAATAAAGAAAGGAGGAAGTTTGTGGAAATTATCAGAACATCAAAATTAGGTGTCTTCAGAGGGAGCTTCCTTAGCAGCTTCAACTGCAGCTTTCTCTGCCTGTATTTCAGCAACAATGGAGCCAATCTCAGCTTCATCAAGATGACGAAGATCATGCTCTTTGGTTATGACAGAAATTTCTATGTTCTTTCCTCCACTCTCAACAACCTATATAGGAATTGCAATTGTTCTCATAAAACATCTTTTTTTTTTGTCCTTTTAGGTGTTTCAGTGAGAAATCCCATGTCAACAACTATTCGAACAACAAGAGAATAAGACAGTTCATTCTTCTAAAAGTGTCGCACGCAACCGATAAATAGATGGGAAGACAAGTTGTCCAAGAGGAGGACACAAACATCAAGAATCGAGATGCAATTGATGTTCATGACATTGGGAAGTTTAGAGTACTGATAACCTCCTTTAATGACTTACCTCTTTAAATGGTGGGTTCAACTTGATACCATTTGAACCTTGATCATAAGAAGGTTAACTACAAAGGTCTTATCACTAAAATAAGTGTGTCAGTGGTAAGATTCCTTTTCTTGGAATAACGATTTACCTCCAAGAAAGAGAATGACAAAACTTCAGACTCGTCAATTTTTAAAATGAATATCTTAATGATACAAGGAACTTGTAAAACTATATACAGGAGAAAAAGAACAGTGTGCTTGACACACGACAGAAAATTGGGAGGAGAACTAGTAGGTCGACGATGGCTTGCAGATTATGCTTAAATTTAGTATATGTTGTTAACAGAATGGCGATGCCACACACATAAAGGAAGAGACTCAAGAGTGTTGCAATAAATTCATCTGGAAAGTCCAATGGAGAAAAGGAGATTTGTTAGCTAGTTATTTAGAATTAATCAGTGAAATGAGAGAAGTTAAGAAATCTGTCAAAGATGTGGGAAAATGTGGGATATAAAAATGCAATCAGTAAGGAAGAGTTTCTCCCTTGAAGTGAAGCACACGTACAAGCAGGTGTAGACACAGAGCTCTCTGTGTCTACACCCAATTAACAACAGTACTGTGACAATCCATCCATTAGGAGTGACAATCCATCCAACAGTCTGTGTCTCAATTTATCAGTATATCTCTATAGTGAAGTCTCTCTTTAGGAATTCTTGTCGTGACTTTAAGTACTGCCCATCCCCATGCCACATGGGCAACACCAAAAATTTACGATAGAATATGATCCTTTATTGGGGTTTCTGTAACTAGAGAAGAAAATACCTCCAAATAACAAGAGGAAAGAAAGTTTTCCTATGTCGCATGTGATGACCACCAAAATATGCAAATAATAGATTGTTGTAATATGTTTTCATTAAGCAAAAATCTAGAAAACTTTATGTTCATTGAGAGAAAATCTAGGAAGCTTGCTAGGCGCTTAGGCAAAGGTGCCTCCCCTGACATGTTTCGAGTCTCAAGTGCATTTAGAATGAAAAAGTTTGCCTTAAAGCAGTAAAACACAAGGGAAACATCGTAAGAGTTGATATAGAGCAATTTAAAAGGGAAAATAATTACAGGTTAGAATAAAAATAATATAAAGAAGAGCGATTGTGGATAGGTTCTAAAAAATGACAGGTCTAGATCTAATGCAATTTAATAATTTGTTCTATTTATTATTTAAGAAAAAATAAAGATACATTTGTACTTTTTAGTAATTAAAGAAACTGAGAACAATCAGATTTACCATAATACCACAAGACATTAGAATACGTATCCCCCACCTTTAAGATTTCAAGTCACCATTCAAACCAGATGTTATTAATGTAAAGCAGTTATCTTGCATTAATAAAAAATATCCAATAGTCAAAGAAATAAAACACTCACTCCCAACGGTTTCGTGGCCGGAGGTCTCCATGTAGTTCTTCTCCAACAACTCCCGCAGCGAGTTGAAGTTCCTCCCGGTGGCTTTGTCCTTCCAGGCCGAGATGTCAATGTGCGTGACGGGGCTCATGATCTTGCGCACCGATGTGCAGCGAAAAGGAACGATACGATGAAAAGAACCCTAACGAATCGGGTGGCACGAGAACCTAACCAATTACCGGGAGTCTTGGAGTTCGGGGGTGGACTTCTTCTCGAGCCGAGGACGACGGTGCCGGTGCCTCGGACAGCGACGGCAGCGAGTTGCCCTTGCGGATGGCCTCGAGGGAGTGCTCGACCTGGAAGAGGTCGCCATCGGTAGAGAAGACGGTTATCGCGCGGCCGTAGCGGGCACTCTGTTTGATGCCCGTCCTCTATTGCTGCGATGGTAATAAGGAGCAGGGCATTTATCACGCCCAATGGTAAGTCTTGGTGACTGGCTTTGAAATCAGAAATAGCAAGGTTATCTCTTTAATTTACTCTTATTATTATTATTATTATTATTATTATTTTTCCAAGTTAATTACTAATTTTTACATGTTTAATTTGCAATTTGTTAGATAAATTCCCTCACTGAGAATAATGGCAATTTTATGAATAAAAAAACCTTTTTTTAATTCACATGAGATAACCAAATGGTGTCCATAATTAGACCTTATCGATATATAGTACTTTTTACAAAAAGAATGCGACATAATGATTATTTGCAAAATGGAAAGAGGAACGGAGAGCAATCTATTTTGATTATTAACACATAAAATTGCATGAAATAACATACAAGAGGGAGAGGATAGTTCGAGTGATACAGAAACATCAAACTAATGTTCCAATTGGTAAACTATTGTGAAAAAGAATCTCCAACGAAAGGAAGATACACAATTAAAACATAGCAGGGAGATTTTAGTTCTTGCAAGTCTACTTGCCACGCTTAGATCTGATTTCAGAAGCTGCAGCTTGTGCAGCAGATTTTGCCAGTGTGGTGGGAGCGATGCTGCTCTTGGGGTCAATGCCTTTCCTGATCTTGAACACGGCCCACGCGGTTCCGACGGCATGCCCTGCAGCATCAAGCCCTTGGGTTGCGGCTGCAGCTGCTTGCTCACCGTACCTGCAACAACAATTTCCATCGATCTATAAACCTCTTCATCTTGTTGTCATGCATATAAGCTTGGAAGGTTGGTTCTGGCACTAAAATTTATTTTATTCGAGTCTTCTCCGGGTCACAAAAATCATCGCTATTGATTCACTAAAGCTATTAGATGGTCATTTATCTTAAGCAAAAAAATCCAGGTAGGTGCAACATATATCTTAAGCAATGGTCATTTAACTTGTATCTCTTGCACACAAGCATGATCATGGAGATCGTATTTCTTAGGCACAAAATTGTGGTAGAGGTGACTGAAGGATAATGGTTATATGCAAGGTAATATGCAAGAATGGATAATGGTTGAAAATAAAATTTGAGGTTGGAACCAATCCATTTCAACCTGTGATCCAGGGAGATTAAAAAGCAGATTTATGGCAATTGGTACCTGTGAGATACTAGCCCAGTTGTCACAACCGATGATGTAGACAAAACATTTTTTCCAGCCACTTCAAAAGCATCGCATATCTTGCCTATAGGCAACAGGAGAAAAAACCAAAACTGATGTTAGTCAGGTATGAGAGTTTAGATTTCTTTCCAGAAAAGAAAAGATTCTTGTAGGAAGAATTCTTAAGAATTGTTTATATATATATATATATATATATATATCATCTATATATATATATATATATATATATATATATATATATATATATATATATATCATATACACCAAGGAGGAAATCATGATACAAGTCACTAATTACCCATAGAAGGACTGAGCCAAGAGCTAAATAAACTCAGGCAGAGAGATGCTCTCATCATACTAAGTTAATCTGAAGTTTTAACTTCAAATATATGTCTATTGCTGCTGAAACAACTTATTAGAGCATTAATTTCAAACAGTAAAGTTAGAATCGACAGATTTATGTGAGTCAACTATACTAGTAATTATGAATGGTTTGTTATTCTTGTACTCGTAGGGAAACTAAAATTAAGCATCTGATAATTTACCTTAAAAATGAATATGTCTTAACTATTTATTCCAAATTATTCTCAAGCAAAAGTATGAAAAGAAACTTGGTAAGTATGTACACTACTCCCTTGCTTTGAAATTAGTTAGAAAAAGATAACAGAACTCCTTAGAACCAAAATTAAACATAGAACTTTAGCACAATTAGTTGCTGCAGCAAACATTGTTCTTGTGATATGTCCGGACAACATGACAAGGAAATTAAAGACCAAACACATGAAAATTTTTGCTACTAGACTTGTGATGAACCACTTGGCCTTAACTAAATCAAGATTCAGATATCATGATATGATTAATGCAACTAATAGGGAATGAGGTCATGTGAAATGCTACAAGTTCCTCTGTGTCCGGTAATATCTCAACGAGGGCCAACGTGAAGTCAAAATCAAGTAGCACACAATTTGCATGCATGTAAGAGAAAAAAAGGACTAGAAATCATGCACTGCAGATTGAAATCATGAGATAAGAATACTTATATATACATTCAGCCAGGCAAAATAGTAGAGATAATCAAAATGAAATTCATAAGGAAACATTATATAAATTTCTCTGAACGAAAACAAAGGTAAACTGAGAAATGACATACCAAATCCATCAAGAGAAGCCAGAACAACTTCACCAGGCAACATACCAAAAAATTTCTTGCCTGCTCTCGAATTTACAACTGAACTTGTGAAGTATCCAGACACCCTGACGACCCCAGATAAGACTCCTGTCGCAACCTTCTCTGACATCTTGGTGAACCTCTTAACCCTAAACACCAGTAGGTCATTTGTCAGCACATCTTTTACACAAGAAGCTCAACAAACAAATTTAAACACCAAGGAGAAGACTCATTCAAGATTCTATTTAGAGAACCAAATAACACATAAGCGATAAAAAAGAAAAAGGTGGAATCTGATAGTTCACTGTGAAATATAAATTCCCATAACTTGCCACTAGAAGTGTTAAGGAAAAGTTAAAACTTCCACCTGCTATGTTCTTTATGTTTTACTGTTGAACATTCGTAAATCTCATGTCTTCTCAAGGCTTGTTTGTCTCACATCCAAACTTTCAGGTAGATTTACAAGAATGAACTCTTTGTGCAAAACTAATTAAATTCGGCATGATCAAGAAAGAGGACTGTAGTCCAGTTGAAGTTTTGAACAATATATAATCTGTCCTTATCGTGCATAATCAATCATGTTTCATTTGTGTGGCATACATAAGTCACAGTCAAACAAAACCTACAATTTAAATCATCAAAAGAAGTTCTTTACTAATATAAATAAATAACAATATTTGATATATATATATATATATATATATATATATATATATATATATATATATATATAATACAATTGACAAAAAGTGCCCATTTGTTGATCTGTTCTTCAAAACTTAAACAACGTAGATATTGTTTAGAGAAATATATTGTTGTAAGGGTTCTTGATCGCAAAATATGATCTTGGACGTGTGGAAGGACGTTTTGTGGCAGGAAACGTGCAGCCATGCTCAGGAAAATACAGTAGAAAGAAAAAGATGAAGGATGATTTGGATCTTAGGTTCCCAAATATAAGATGATCAAGAAGTGAAGGAAAAGAAAAAGGTGATACCTTTGGATCCTCGCCCAGGTTTCCGGACTAATCTCTGTCGGCTTCTCATTCGGCCCTAGCCTCGTCTTCAACATATCATTCCCCCACTTGAGCCTTTCCACTGTCACATCCCCACACCACAATATCCCCTTCACGAGCTGCCCCGACCCTGCGGCGATCGCCTTGGCGACCAATCCGCTATAGTCCTCGACATTGGGTGCCAGAGTGGTCCAGTAAGCCACACATCGCTCCTCCATCATCTCCTTCTTAGAGCTGTCCTCCATCACCTCTGTGGGCGTGACCTCCTTCGCTACGGTTCCATCAAGCGCCTCCGCCGGCTCCTTCCCGCTCACCTTCTGCACCGAGAAGCTACTATAGCTTTCCAAGATCGCATCCAGCTCCTTCAGAAGAGCCTCCTGCCCCTTTGAAGCGAAGGTCAAGCCATAACTAAGAACGTCCGGCGACCCACTGCCGCCGTCCCCCGTCTCACCGGGAACGTGGAGGGAGAAGAAGTAGTGCGATTCGTCGAGCTTCACGGCGGCCTCATCGTGAGCCAGAGGCCACTGAACGGCGTCATCGGTGCCGCCGACGCGGACGAGGACGGCGACGAAGCTGTCGCCCTGTCGGAGCCCAGAGATGTAGAGGTCACCGGAAGCGAGCTCGACGCTGCGCTGCTTGTCGATAAGGTGGAGGAAGGCGCCGGGAATGCGTAGCATGGTTTCCTCCGACGGAGGTTGGAGGGAGGGGTTTTTAGGATCGTCTTCGGCAATGTGGGGGAAGAGGTCCTCGGTAAAATCGGACACGTCGACGGGGGGATACAAAGAGGAGGATGAGGGGGTGGTGGTGGTGGTGGTGGGGATGGGAAAGGGAGGCGCGGAGGGAGCAAACGGCGGAGGCGAGGGCTGGGGGATCTGAGGATTTGTGGAAGCCATCGGCGGGTGCTTGCGGTGGGAGAAGAGCGGGTAAGAGGAGGGAAGAGAGAAAGGAAGACGTAACCGTGACCGCCATGAGACAGGGATTGTTAGTTATGGTCCTGTAACGGTAACGGCATTGCACCTACTTCGGCGGTACGGTCTGACGTGGACTTTGTGGTCTATAGCGTTTCCGTTAGTCCTGACGTGATAATTCTGTTGCGGTCCAACCTGTAGCAAACAAAATAACAAAATAAAATTACATATATTATTATGGAGTATAAATTTAGAGAGGAAGAGATGATCAGAATCTATTGTCACACCACATCAAATTCACATAAGCCTCCAAACTCCATCATCTAAACAAATCCTTACTCTAATCCAAGATGAAAAATCGAGCAAAAACTCAAATTAAATCACCAGAATACATTAATCAAATCAAATCAAAATATGAGTTTACCATCTCATGATAAAATTAAGAAGAAACTCATAGACTTCTGTCTCGGTGGATTACATGCACACTTCTATCTAAGTGGCATATGCTATTTTCATCTGCAGAGAGATACAAATAGCAGCAGAAGGCAAAATATAAATCAGTACATATAAGCTGTTATCTGGAGTCTGAAAAAATTGCTTTTCCAGACCAAATACATTGAGCATGATAATTCACATGACATCAGTAAATGTTTTTATAACAAGGTCCTGGAATCAAACACTATCCTCATCTTCAGATTTCTTAACACTTCAAAAAAGAGAAGTAGATGTATAAATTTATGCATGTTAACTAGATCAGCAAAATTGCAAGTATCACTTGAAATTATGAATCCTTTTAGCTGATTCTAGTGTATTCGACAAGAGCATTGCAATGGTCATTGGACCAACTCCACCAGGGACTGGTGTAATAGCAGAAGCCACCTCACAAGCCTCTTCATAACAGATGTCACCAACCAATCTGTAACCTCGGGGGCTTTCAGCATCCTAATGCATGGAGAAAATCTTCATTAAGTTATAAGATATTTTATGCAATCGCAAAATAAAAACAAGTTTGTATTTATGAATATTGATCATTTCAATTGGATGAAAGGTTAGTGATAAAAAGGAAAAGGAAAAGAAAGGTGAAACTTAAATTTATTATGACAACCATCAGAATTTTGTACATTATTATAGATAAAAGCAATTCATCATTGTCTAGATTAGAAAAGGCCTACTTTCACAATACCTGTATGTAGTCATTGTTAAATTACTAACATTAACAGTGACCAGATGCAATAAAAAGATGGAAGTGCAGAGAAGTATGTCAAGAATTAAAATCAGATATCAACTATATTATAATTAGTCTAATATTTGTGAGACAAGGAATTCGGACTCTCAGGTATGCTTGCTAAAAGGCAAAAGCTTCATCGCTTTTCCTATAAAAGAAATGACACCAAGAATAATAGGTTGAACATTAATTCTAGTAATTTCAGTCCTGAAATTCAAATTATTAGAAAGGAAAATGCCTTGGCCATGAATGCAAATTAGGATTCAAATATCAACCAATATGACATGGCACATTTATATTCTTAGTAACTAAACATCCTAAGCAGGAAGACTCTTACATCAACAGGATTGATTCCAACGTCTATCACAACAGCACCAGGCTTTATCCAGCTACCCCTCACCAAATTAGCGACTCCAGCAGCTGAAACGATTATATCTGCTTGACTTGTAATTTCCTCAGGATTTTTGGTGTAAGAATGTACCATGCTGACAGTTGCATTTGCTTTCTGGCAAATAATCAACAATTTCACATGAATAAATACGAAACACAAAAAAGTAACGCCACAAATTATTTATAATAAAGATGTAGGCCAAAGGATTATACCTGCAATAATAGTGCAACAGGCATTCCGACAATATTGCTTCTGCCAATCACAACAGCTCTTTTCCCCTTTATCTCAATGTCATACCTATGCAGCAATTCCATGCATCCTTTTGGAGTACATGGAACAAATAGAGGATCCCTACCTTGCATAGCAAGACGACCAATATTGAGTGGATGGAACCCATCCACATCTTTCTCAATACTGACAGCGTTTAATATGTTCTCTTCCTTCATGTGCTGCCAAAATAGAACATTTTGGTAAGTGCAAATAATAAGAGAAGAAACATAAGTCCCAGTTCAGTTGCAGAATAAAAAAAAATCCCTTGTCTGTTGAGAAAATGCTAAATATCTTCTAAATTAAACTCTATACGAGGGGAAACAGGATACAGAAATCCTAGCACATCACAGCCTTTAGATGACATTATGTCGGGAATCAATGATCAATTTATAAAATGATGGCAATGGCATTTGTCCTATAAGAAAACTTCATATTACTTCCAAGAGCAATTGATATATATATATATATATATATATATATATATATATATATATATATATATATATGTAAAATGTTTATTATACCAACGATAACATACACGAGGCAGAGGTAACTGGACAAGAATTCCATGAACTGATGAATCATCATTGAAAATTGCAATATGCTTTAGAACTTCCTCTTCCGTACAGTCCTCAGGCAAATTGACTTCATAAGAATTGATACCCACAGCCTTGCAAGCTTTCTTTTTGTTCCGGACATATGTTTGAGAGTCCTTCCTTGAACCCACTAGAATTACAGCCAGGCCCGGAACAATGCCAATTGTGTCCTTCATCCTTGCTATCTCTGCAGCAACCTCATTTTTTATTTGGCCCGATACCAACTTCCCATCGATAACCTTAGCAGAAGTTTCTGCAATCATCACCAATGTAAATCAAAAGTTTACCCTCGAAACAGGTGAAACAAATAAAAAAAATCTAAAACTAAGATCATGGTAGAGAAATACAAGATAAGATTGTCTAGGTCGATCAAATTAACTTAGTCGAGTAAATCAGATCTTTCCATCGTTTTATGAGAACAAAGAACTAACTAAATTTTGCGATAATTTTCATTCTAGGAATGCCCTTCAAGAGCCAATACACAAGGACTCAATAAGAACAAGCTATGCTCGATTTCAATACTCACCGCCCTGTTACCCAGTCCTCGTATCTCTTTCTAACTAACAATATCTTCCTACTATAGTCCATCTGCTATGGACATTAACATTATTATTCTCGAAATGAAATAAAGATCCACCTCTTAAAAACAAAAGATGTATCACTTCAAGAAAATCTATATCTGTGTGAGAAATTCCAAAAAAAAAAAAAAAGGAATATAATGTCTATTGACTAACACCAAACGCACAGCACGTGGTCGACGAATCGTCTCACAGAACCACACAAATTTTCCACGAGTTGATGATACGCATAGTCCCCTCTGTTACAGCGGCGCCGACCTAACACAGGCAAGCGATTACAAGATCGACAGTGTTTACCCGGAGCGACGGCAGATAGACTTGAGTTCCGCGAGGCGACCGACCGGACCGCCATCGATCCCAACGGCATCGGAACCGAGGACTGGAATCGGCAGGCGAGGGTCATCCGGGGCGGGGCCAGAGCTCGAGCCACCGCCCCCGCCGGCGACGACAGCGAGCAGCGGCTGGAGAGTATGGAGGACGCCATGGGCCCACAAAAGCAGGAAGAGAAGGGTAAGCTGGCTCTAGGGTTTCTGAGGAGGGGAGAGAGGGGAGGAAGAAGAAGAAGCAAAGCCGAAGGGCGCGCCAATTTGAGATGATTCCTTTTACCTTTTTCTCTTCTTTTTTGGCCTCGCTTCGCTTTGCTTCGATCGCCGCCTACTTGTCTTCGTCCGTGGATGTGATTGGATTAATCTTGAACTATATGATTCCAAAATCAAACCCCAAGGCATGTAAGGTTAGAGATATTTGTGTGGGTCAGGTAGGCTAGGGATAGGACTCAGCTTAGTGGCCGAGACACTTTATAGTCTTAAATATTATTTTATATTCTTAAAAATTATTTTTTAAGTCATAATATTTTTAACAATAAACAAATTAACATCTCTGAGAATATAAGATGTAATTTTTTAAAGAAAATGATTAATTTGTTCTTTTTAGTTGAATAAGCCCAACTTGATTCAGAAGAGATGGAATTACAATTTTGAGATTTGTGTGTGCTTCAAGTAAGAGTCAATTGGTGGGGGGGGGGATTTCAAGTAAGAATGTTTTGTCTCCCTAAATATATTACCATTAAGGTGAAAACATAATCTAAACAAAAGAAACCAATCCATTGCAGTCAAACATTTGAGGCTTTATTACCCATATATTTCCCCTGGCAAGTCATCTTCATTATCTTTGGCCTGGCCTTTTGACAACTACTTTCAAATAGTAGGACAAAATGAAGTTGTTTTCCTGCATTTCTGATCTGCTATCACCTGAAAACAATCAAATGCTGGTTAGCTAATTGAGAAAAGCTTCTGTTTGGAAATTCAAATTTCAATAGTATATAACCAACAAAAGAGTCGTACTACAGCATGTAACAGATGCATAGGTGAAACAAGAACTGGGTTGAGTGAATCCCTCTTGTAAACTGGTAATGTCTATCACATATGATCCAAGAAATTTACTAGGCTAATGTACACGAGATATTGTCGTAGAGAATACCAGCTCTTTCAAACTCCTAGCTGCTAGTACCATAAATGCACCAAAATGCAATAAGGTTGTCATTTTTGTATCAACCGCGAATGGATGGCGCGAACTCATCAATCTAGAAGCGATAGCATCTAATGGCTCATTTTTCTGCATCCAACTGGTCATTTGGTATCTCTCCTGAATCAACGATGATGACTTTCTTTCTTGGCTTCCCATTATATGTTCCAGCTCCTCCCTCGATGGCAAAGACGGTATCCATGCCCTGAATAACCCTACCAAAGGCAACGTGCTCCCCATCTAACCTACAATTGCAGAAGAATTATTGGCATATCAGATTGTTTGAACTTAAAGCCCACACATCAGCTCTCAAATGGTTTGAAATTTAAAGGGTACATACCAGCTTGCCTTAACTGTGGTTATAAAGAACTGGGATCCATTGGAATCAGGCCCTGAGTTCACCATAGAAACTATACCTGGAAGTGTGAACGAGCACCAAAGTAAGAAATTGCAGAGTGGGAATGACAGAATCCAAATAAGAGCATTAATCAAATACTGAATCCATTGCCAGAATACAGAATATGCATTAATCAAGTACACTACAAAGTTGATGTACAACTAATCAAGTGTGCCGCAAATGTCTTTTAATTTGTGAATCCAATATGCCTTGATATATTTTTTTATTTTTTCTCTATTTATTAGTCTAGGGTATATCTAAAAGAAAAGTTAGCCTTTGCTATCACATGTTTCTTCGACTTTGCAATCAAAGGAACACAAACATCGTCACCAACATGACCAACAAGAGGCAGCAGCCTTCATTTTTAACTATATGCCAACTGCATGGAGTATTGTCACGGACAAACTTTTAAACAAGGTGTTTGATGTAATGCTTATGTATGTCCGTGTCTTTTGACATGTTCATGCCTTGTACAGCATTTAGAGGGGCGGCCGAAGGCTTAATAGTCCCATTTTAGTTGGGTCGGTGGCCTTTTTAGGCTTGTAAATAAAGGTTGTGTCATGTGGACACGTGTGAGAGATTTTCGATCTATAATGGACCATTTTACCCTTTGTTGTGCAACGGTTCAGAGCTCGTAAGATCTGTTTGTAATTTGCATTGTCTATGAAGTATTTTTCGGAGATGTTTGCTTGTGGATCCTGATTGAGGCGTTCTCTCTAACCCGTTCTCTCTTTTGTTGGTCCTAAGGGACAATGGGAGGCTGACCTTTGCGGACGGACACGCAAGGGTGTCGCACGACTTAGGCAAAACCAGCTAAGTCCGTGACATATGGTATCAGAGCGGGACAAGCACTCATAGAAACACTTAGCATGCAAACGTGGGGGACCTAGCGGGGCTGCGTTGAGGGCAGTCAGCACACGCGCGACCGTTTGGGGGAAAACGGGCATGGAGATGTAGGGAAAAGGAGTCGCTCGGAGGAGCGGGCATCTGAGATTGGCATTCAAAGGAATGGCCAACCCTTCGCGCAAGAGGCACCACGAGAACAGACAAGCTTGGAAGAATGTGGAGCGCACAAAGGTTGGGATGGCTGAGTTTGAGCTATGGCTCAACGTTGACAACTATACTTGATGGTGCTCAAGGCAGGCGAGGCGCTTGGTAAAGGATGAGACCATGCAAGGTGGAATGAGTTGCTCGGCGATCGAAAGAGTTGTGCAAAGCTCACAAAGGTGAGGGGAATTGCTAACTCAAAGAATTCGGTACTCATGCATTGGCTTGTATGCGGACGATGGAATGTTCGCGGCCATCCCAATGCGACCGAAACTCGGCGCCATGGAGCATTGAAACTTTCTCTTCGGCATGTGAAGGATACGTCCGTAGGAGGCTGAAGTGTGCAACGAGTCCAGCATGTTGCTAGGCCTTGAGTGGTGCAGCGGGGGCTGTATTGACGTGGAGTCGCAATCTAGCAAGTGCGTTTGTAGGAGGCAGAACAATGCACAGTTTGTTCAGCAGATCGGAGTAGTCCAAGGGGATGGTGGTCTCCGAAACGAAGAGAGATGTTGCTCCAATGGGATAGTTATCCAGGAGGGATAAGTCCCGGCTCTCCAGAGGGAGAATCATGTGGGACGGACTGCACATGTTGAGGAGGAGTACTTCAACAAACAACAACTTCACGAAGCTCAATGGACCGAGCAAGCGGTGAGGAGTCATCGCATGATCTCGCTTGAGAGAATGCATTGGTGGATGCATTGCGAGATCAAGTGGGGGAGCGTCCCAAAGCAACACAAATGAAGGCACACTTGGAGTCGATTTGGAGATCGGACTCAAGGGAGGGCTGACCCGTGGAATGGTGGGCGCGAGGGCCACCATCGACTTAATGCAAAAACGAGGAGCGGAGCTACTTGGGTGTAACTTGGCGAAGTACCCAAGCCGCATGAAGAGAGCCAGCATAGAAGTTGGAACATGGAGCGGAGGCACAGTGCTTTCCTTAGACAGAGGTCAAGGACATGAACTCTTACAGAGGCAAGAGTAGAATCATGTTGTTCCATGGGTCATTCATTCTATCAGAGAGGACTCATCTTGCATGGTGCCAAAGATGAAGGGAGCTTCTAGGCACATGCACCTTATCTCGGAGGAGCATTTGATGGAGGAACTAAGGCGACTCAATTTACGGAGGCGAAGTTGGGTTCAGAAGGCCTTAGCACGGGGCAAGAGGACGCAGAAGCGGGTACTCTTGAAGAATATGCCACAGTGTTGCCATTCAAGTTGCCATGAAGGAAGCGGTGCGCAGCGGAGATTGTGCTAGTAGGGGCAGAGGCCCAGGATCCAGACAATGGTGCACAAATTACAGTGAAGTCGGTGGACTTTGGGAGCTACTAGGCGACGGACTGTCCTAGAGCGGTGCTTCATCTAAGTGTGACCCAAGAGTGGGTGGATGAAGGCCGGTTGCCAAAGGAGCGAACAAATTCGGAGGTGGAAGAGACCCTGTGATGTATTGGCAGAGGCCACACATGGAGGGTTCACAATTCGAGTTTATTCCACAAGGATCAGAATGCAATGGAGATGTCACCAGGAGGCGACATGGTGCAGCGGATCGTGGTGGAGCAGTTCGTGGCAATGCAATACACACGACATAGTCCCGTGAGGGATTAGATCATACGGAGGTATGATCGGGAGCTACTGGAAGTTCCACTTCGGTGAACAACACGACGGCAAGAAGGGCTATGGATTCAAGGAGTGAAGGCCATGGTACCGCAGAGGCGGGTCTTCCGTACGTGCATCGAATTTTGCATCAGATGAAAACCTTGGTCATCAGCATATGAGGGTTGTGTTCCACTAAGGGAAAAGTTCGAATGCAAGTACCAGTGAGTTCCATGGGAGGGACTTGATCATGCAGAGGTATGATCGAAGCAGCTGGAGAGTTGGACTGCTCCAGAGCTCATATTCGCTTAAGGGAGCCCGACAAGTCAGAGGACAAGGTCGAGTAAGCGAACATTGCTACCAAGGAAGCTAAGGAGAACATAATCGGTGCAGACCCTATAATGCGATGGCAGAGGCCATGCATGGGAGTTGCAGTCTGTCTTTCTATCGACCAAAGGAGAGCTGCTTGGAGAACACAGAGGTGTTGAAGTAGGGGGTCGAAAAGGGTGAGGAAGCGACAACGAGTCCAGAGGGACTTAGCTACCCAAAATCAAGCATCAGTTATAATGGAGGTGGACTCGGAGGAGTGCCACAGAGGCATATCTACTGATTGTGAAGAAAAGGGATGCAGATGCGAGGCGACGGATAGTAGTGCCATGGGCATGGCAGCGCCATGGTACCGCAGAGGCGGGACTTCCGTAAAAGTCATTGATCCCTTGCTCTCATGGAGGGAGAGCGCTTGGTCGTGAATGGGGCCGAGGAGGTGGAGCATGCAGAGGCAATCTCCAAGTACCGAGACAAGGCTGAAGGGCAGAGGCCGAGGAACTTCGTAAGACCGGTGTCAATGAGCTTCTCATCAAGATAGCCGAAAGTGAAGGACTTCGGGTCATGCAAGAGTGCATAACCAAGGAACGAAGCAGGCAGTACGCGGTGTTGTACCTTTGCTACTCAGTGGAGTAGGCAGCAGGG